GGAGTAATCAGACAAAAAGAAAAAACAGATCTAGGACTGCAGAAACAGATTATTCATTCTTTCTGGGCTGAATTAACTATCAGTGATTCGAAGGGGTAGGAAATATGCCTTTGTATATTAACTGCAGAGAAACAGAAAGAAACTGAACCTATGATGAAGTTACTGATTTACTGAATCTGTCTACTATGTAGCACTACTTATTACATGTCATAACAGCTCTTTTTAAGCAAATTTGAGTCAAGATATTCAAAAACCCAATTTTTGTAACAAAAAGCATCCTAATTAATGAGAAAGAAAAATAAAACCATTTGGAATTATCCTGCTAACAAAACAGCTTGAGATACTATGTGTTAATATGTATGTAACGCCTTCATTAATATTTAGAATGTTGACAATTATATCTAGATCGCAGAATAACTAAACTCTCCCATCTGTCACTTTGTCTTACTAATCACAAAAAAAGACATCAGTAAACATGGATGCATATTAAGAATTTCTTAAAAAGGAAAAACATATTTCCAATAAACAAATTTAAAATTTTAAAGAATAATCTTCAAGTTCCTTCAAGGGATTGCATTTGGCCACCGAATATTAACCTAATAATCAGATATAGTTCTTGAGAAAATAAGAGCTGGAGAGAGAGTACAACTGATAGGGTGCTTGCTTTGCATGTTGTACCCAACCCAGTTTCAATCCCTGGCACCCCAGATGATCCTGAGTCTGCCAGTAGTGATCCCACAGCCAGGTGCAGGAAATAAAGAGAGAGGAGGTGGGGGAGAGGAAGGGAGGTAGAAGGAGAAAGAAAACAGAGGCAAATCATGTAATAGCTTGAAAAATTCCTTTCTGGGCATATATGCATTTATGTATCACACAATCTTATCTGTGGAAACAACTGAAATAATTCACATCAAAGGAAAACATTTTTTATTTTAATAAAGTAATGCACCAAATGATATGGGTATGTTTCATTAATAATATGAGAATTATGTAACTCATGGGTTTTTATTTTGTTCTTGTTTGATAGGTATTACCTGGCTTATGAAATGTAAATCTCATTACTCACAGTAACGGGCAAATATTAAAAGACTAAAATTTATTGTTGCCAGGTCTCTGTGGCTAAGTATCAATTAAAGAGCCAATTAAAGAAAGAAAAACACTTGGACTTCTGCAGTTATAGCTCAAGGATATAGATGGCAAAATTAAAGAGTAGGCATCCACCCTTGAATTCTATGCTTGATGAACCAAAGAATTCAGCTTAGCAAAATAGGCATGTGACATTTAACAATAGCTTTAAGCCACAACCATTCTGAAAACCTACCACATCGGAAATACTACACTACAAAAGGGTTAACTGAACATATAAGCTGCTATTTCATAAAGGAAGACAGATAAGGAATAGAAATAAAATACAATAATGGAAAGTGGATGGGAAAAACAACTTACAAATTGCTCGATGTTAAACCATTATTATTAAACATCACCATCCTATCAGTGTATATAACTGTTAACCCAGGAATACTCATACTCCTTGATACTATTTAATAAATAAAATTCAACTTTCTCTTATTGAATACACACACACACACACACACACACACACAACTCCTCAAGGTAAAATAGAAAAGAGTTAAGTAACAATTAACACATTAGCTTTGTCTTTAAGACAAAGGGTATGAATTCTTAAAACCTTCTATATAAGTGGTAAATTTTAAGAGTTGGAAGCAATTAGCATGCCACTCCAAACTCATTCCAAGTTGAGAGACTATCCTGTACGCATCTCACAAAGACTGACTAAGAAAGCGTTTTCCATAATCAAGACTCAATTTTGATTGATGGGAGTGACTCAAACATATTTAGAACCTGATACCTTCTTCAAGGAATTCACAAACTGACGCAAGGAATTAAAAGATGTGGAGCAGAGAGAACCAGGAGAATTAAACTCATTCAGCAAGACAAAAGGGCTTCAGGGAATGCTTACTGGATAGTTGAACAAGGCTAGGAACAGGAGAATAAACTAAGACTCCCTTTACCAACAGACATTTGCAACTACTCTTCCCTCACATATGGCTATGAGGGTCTTCCTGGTGTTGTTCTAACATAGAAAGTTCTTCAATCAGGCATTCCCTCCTCGGAAACTTTGCATCTGTGGCGCCCTGACTAGAATGAGCTTTCCCAGGTATCTGCATGGCGTTCCTTACTCCCACCAAGCATTTGCTCCTAAGTCCCCTTATGCAGTGATCCTATTTTAAATGATCACTCCTCACATCCCTTTATTATCCTTCCCTGCTTTAGTTTTCCACGTAACTCAATACTATCTGACAGTCTATGTTTCCTACCTACTTATTAGCATCATCTATCCCCTGCTTAAAGAACAAAAATTATCTGTTCATCACAATATTTTAAAACACTAAATGAAGAGGGTCAGCTGAAAATTAATACTGACAAACTAACTGATGGAATAAAATAGGTAAAAAACAACTGTTCCTTCAAATAGGTCATGATCTAGCAGATGAAGGAAATATAAAATAAATAACGCTGAATTATTCCTGAACGACAGAAATATATTGTTAGCAAAACCCAATTTATTAAGGCCGAACAGAGAGACAGTTCCTGGCAGCCCCTCTTCTATGTGGCCAGTGACCACTAAACACTTTCTATGTCCTCAGTCCTTGCTCCTAATAACACTTATGCAATGGCCAAATATGACATCATTACTGCTAAAATTACTTTTTCCCACATTAAGGCTCAATGCTACCTACCAAAGAAAGGTAAAGGATATTTCTGTTCCCACCACTGAACAAGCAAAGATATACAGCAAGACACATTTTTTTTTCAGAATATGTATTTCCAAAGTTAAATACATTTTTATGTAGAATTCTACAATACTTGGAGTAGTTACTTGGATGCTAAGGATTAACTAAAAAAAATCTAGTGAATACTGTTTAGTTTTTAAGAGTAAATATGAAACCAAATATTTCAATTGTTTCACTCTTGGAAAGAATATCTTTGTGACACTATAAATGGATTGCACGGGCAACTTATTTTCTAGGAGGAAGAGTCTTTTGAGTAATGACTTGCATTATGTAGTAGGCAATCGGTAACAATGTAAAGCTAAGGGCTTTTTTTTTTTAATTCAGAAGGATCAATTACTGATTCACCCTAGATTTTTCAATGATGCTGAATTCTTAAGCAGATCATTCATATTTAACTTAGATTTATTTAATTTACATCCGCGTGTATGCTAAAGCAAGCTAAACAGGAGCAACTCGGAAAAGCTCTTCCTGGGCGAAAGCAAAAACCACTTAAGGAAGTGAAGCAAAGAGCTCAGGATTTCTCACTTCCAGGAACACCTCCTGACACTGCCTCCAGACATTGCCGGATCTTTGGCAAAGTCACACTTTCACATTTTCTCATTTTGAACGGCGGGAATGATTTCCTTCTGGGATTTATCTGCACACAAGTGTGAGCCGTGGCACAGTTTCAAGGAGTAAGTGAAAGTTCCCTTCTGGGCACGCGAAATGCTCCAGCACCGGGTCACTCTCGAAGACTTGCACACCCATCTCGTCTCTCTGGGACGGCACCCGCCAGTGGTGTACCCGAGGGCGGGGTGGGGGGGGGGTGTGTGAATTTCATCCCGGAGCATTGGGTTTATTCATAACTCTCATCTCCCTCGTTTATTCAAAAGAAAAGAAAAAAATCGCGCTTGGAACCCCAGTTTTGACGAACCAGGAGTGGGCTTCCTCAGGCGGGGGAGAAACGGACGTGGCGGGGTGCATCCTCCCCGCCCCCCCGACCCCCACCCACCCATCCCCGAGCCGGAGCGTCAGCTGCCCCAGGAGCCGCGGGGAGGAGGGTCCCTCTCGCGGGCAAGGGAAGCCGCCGCTCCCCGGGGCCAAGTGCAAACGTGGCCAGTCCGGGTGGGGCAGCGCACGGGTGACAGCCGCCAGCGGGGAGCCCGAGAGAAACCCCGCTTCCGCGCCTCGGCTCTCCTCAGGCGCCTCCCGGCCGAGGATGCCCTCGCGCGCCGCCCGGGAGGGACCGACCCCGGCGAGCCAAAGTTGCTGCGCGCCGCGGCCATCCCGGCCAACACCCATCTGTCCCCGTGAGGAGAGAGAGAGAGAGAACAAGCGAGCGAAGTGGGGCGGCCAGGCCGGCGCGCCGCGGGGGGCGCGGGTGGGCAGCGGCTGCCTGACAGGCCAGCGCCCTCCCCACCACCACCCCACCACGGACCCCGCAGCGGGAAGTCTCCGCTGGGGGGCCTCGGGCTCCACAGACGGGCGCGGCGGCGGCCCGGAGCGCGCCGGGGAGGTGGGCACCGCGGCTCACGCCCACCCGCCCGCCTGACAGCGCGGCGCGCGACGCCGCCCGGGCGCCAGACCGAGGGCCGCGGCGCGCCCGACGGAAGAAGCGGGGGGTCGGGTGGGGAGGGGGGGTCCCGCGCGGAGGGCGCTGCCCGCAGCCGCCGCCGCCCGCCCCTCGCCCGCAGCTGCGCCGCGGCGGTCGGATACTCACGTAGGGCTGGTAGAACTTGGAGAGCCGCGGCTTCCCGTGGTTGTTGAAGATGAGAATCGCCTTGATCATGGCTGAGCCGGGCCGACTCGGTGGGCGCTGGGGGCCACGGGCGGGGGCGGGCGCGCGAGCCTCGCCTCAGGATCTCGCCGGTGAGCCTTCCCCACCCGCCCCCTCCCGCACGCGTGCGCGCGCGCGCGCGCCCGGCAGGAGGGCGGGGCCTGGCGCGGGGCGGGGCGGGGCAGGGCCGGGCCGGGCCGGGCCGGGCTAGGGCGGGGCGGGGCCGGCGTCCAGGGAAGCGGAAACGCTCCTGGCCCGAGGCCGCCTGCGCACTGGGCGCGGCGGGAGGAGACGTGGCTCTCTGGCCCGCTTCCGGGGCATCGTGGGGCTGAGCGGGGAAACGGGGGTGGCCGTCTTGACCGTCAGGGTCTGCGACAGTCTCGATCGCGGAAGCCGCCTCGAGCGTCACAGCTTTCACTGTCGAGTCGGGACGGGTGACTGCCGCCCCACGCCGCTTCGGCGTCGCCTCCTCGTAGCGACGTGCCCTTACTGTGCCCGCCCCCCCGGCACGCGCTGAGCCACCACTTCCGCCTTCGCCTGCCACCGAGCAAGATGGCTGAGGAGCCCGAGTCGGCGCTGCAGCTGCCGGCGCCGGCTGCCGCCGAGGGGGATGCACCTGCGGAAGCGTCCCCGGACACTGCTACTCCGGAACCGCCTTCTTCCGCTGCGGTCTCCCCCGGAACCGAGGAGCCTGCGGGTGACGCCAAGAAGAAAAGTAACTTTCTGCATTGCAGTTTGCTACCGGGGCTCGGGCGCGGGGAGGCTTTGGTAGCAAAATTTCCCCGCGGGTTCGGGACCAGAAGTGGCTTGCAGCCAGTCAGGAGAGAATCATCGGGTCTCGTGGTGCTTTCAGATCTTGGCGTCGGTTCCGTCCCCAGAATCTTCTTCGCCCGGGACGCTCTTTCGCGGCGTTGATTACTTGACCGTGCCCCCACGGGGACGCGTTTCGCGAGGTTCTGATTTTCCTTTTTTTTCCCTTGGAGTGGTCCAGGCTGCAGCTCTTTGAAAATAGGGAAGGAGCTGAGTTGGGGTCTCAGTCGCTGCAAGGACTGAACACGGGAACTAATTCCGTCTCCTCCCACCCCCACCCCCGCGACTTGTTAAGGTGATCTTCGAGCAGTCAGGCGTCAGTTGACTCCTTGATTCCCCCTGTCCCCCCCCAAAACAGATCTGGACTTCACCCAATATGCAGAGTGCAACGGGAGCACGGAATGCGTCGGCATCCTTTTTTGTACTGTAATTGCTTGCGCTGGCTTGTCAACCCTTTGTTGCTGGAGAATTGGCCGTGTGACAGTCTGAAATTGCTAAGGTTCCTGCTGTTGGAGCACTCTCTGCGGGGCTATCCCGGGGATATGGTGCCGCTAGGCATCTGCGGAAATCGAATACTTCATCTCCCCTATTTCTGTAAAACCAGAAACTAAGTAGTGTACTTATAAATCCTTTCTAGAGTCTTTTTGAAGAATCCTGAGAATTTAGCAAATTCTTGTTTCATCTTTTTTCCCCCCTTCCAATTTTTCTTAAACGAGGAAGCAAATTTGCCAAGGATTGGTTGGTTTAGCGCTCAGCTTTACTCCAAAGTTAACTCCTTGACCGTGAACATAGTGTAAAACAGAGGCTAAAAAGTGATGGATCACACCATAAATGATCCATCATGAGGAACGTGGCATGTTTTCTTTTGTCTGACTCTGTACTTCACTCTGCAGATGATGAGGGGTGTTTTTGTTTTGTTTTGCTCTTTTGGGTCACACCCAGCGATGCTCAGGGGTTACTCCTGGCTCTGCACTCAGAAATTACTACTGACTGTGCTTGGGGGACCATATGGGATGCTGGGGGATTGAACCCGGGTTGGCCCTGTGCAAGGCAAACGCAACTTCCCGCTGTACTATCGCTCCGCCCCAGATGATGTGTTTTTATTTTCTGACATTTGACTTCGGCTGTCCAGTGTAAAACTTGTGTCTAGCTATTGCATTTTTACCTTGAAATTGCCAGTCGTTCCTTGAGGATCTCTTTAGATGGACAGAAGCTTAATTTCATGTACTCACCAACTGTGGTGTTTAGCCCTGCTCATACATATAGGATGGCCTGGGGAGGTATTTTGTTTATTTTGTTTTGGGGACACACCTGGCAGTGCTCAGGGCTTACTCCTGGTCTGTGCTCAGGAATTCCATCTGTGTCTCAACATGCCATTCAGGCACCTTTACCCCAGTACTGTCCCCCTGACCTGAGGAAGTTTTTTGAGTAATTGTTGAGAACTGAAAATTTTCTAAGTGCAACTTTTAAAACTCCTTAGGAATTTTAAAAACACCTTAAGAATTTTTTTTGGGGGGGTCACACCCAGCGATGCACAGAAGTTACACCTGGTTCATGCCCTCAGGAATTGCTCTTGGCTGTGCTCAGGGAACCATATAGGATGCTGGGAATCGAACCTAGGTCGGCTGAGTGCAAGGCAAACGCCCTCCCCGCTGTGCTATTGCTCCAGCCCCAAAAACACCATAAGAATTTTAAAAGTCTAACTTTGATTATAATACATACTCTTCTAGCTTCTTGACCCTCCCCCCTTCTTGGATCATAGTACACTACTTTGTATTTTCTGCTTTGCTTCCTTTCTTTTCTTTCAAATTGCAGTTGAGTTGTTGACAGCGCCAGGGGATTGAGGGAACTGGAAAGCTGAGGTATGAAAGATGAGTTAATCAAAGTCCTTTATCTCCCAGTAATTTATGTATCCCCAAAGTAACAGTCTAACATTAAGTAGATACAGTGGATAAACTTTAGCAGGAAAGTAAATGGTGTGCATTTTGTATTCTAGCTGTTCTCATTCTAGGGGTATTTGAACAAATTGATCTCAGTCTTATTGTAGGGTCCCAGCTCCTCAAGCCAAAGACCTGGACAAGAATGTAAAAGAATAAAGTTAACATTAGAGGGCAGCAGTGCTTTATTTTGCTTTTGATTCTAGATACTTGATTTTTTGTTTGTTTGAAGCAGAGTGACTTTAAGAGAAATATGTAGTCTGGTTTACTTTTTTTTTTTATTTCTGAATTTAAAGATTTCTGTGCCAGGAATGGAACCCCATTCTCAAGCTCTACCCCTAAACCATATCCCCAGGCCCTAGTTTGGACTATTGAAACCTCTTTCCAAGGACCAGAGAGCTAGTATGAAGTTGCAGAGCCAGGAATTTGAATCCATGGAGTTGAGAGTATATGCTTTTCACATAAGTTGCATGTGTTTCATCATCAAGTGTGATATTTAATCAATCCTCTATAAACATTCTTGTTGGATAGTTAGGTTGTCCGGGGTTTTGTTTTTGATTGCCCCCTTCCCCATAAAAATTAATGTTTCAGGGCCAGAGAGATAGTACAGTGGGTAAAGGGCTTGCCTTGCACAGGGCCAGTTCTGGTTCCATCTCTGGCACTACGCATGGTCTTCTGAACACTGCTAGGAGTGAACCCTCGGTACACAGCTGGGAGATAGAATCATAAGTTTTTTCAAGTCTTATATTCTCTTAATTCTCTTTTTCATTTCTTTGGGAGATTTTGTTTGTTTTTCGGGGGGCCTGCAGTGCCCAGGGGTCACTCCTGGACAGCTCAGAGCACCACACGGGTGCCAGGGGTTGGACCTGGGGCAACTGTGTGCCAGGCGGCCGCCTACCCACTGCACTATGGCTCCGGCACCTGCATTTTCACTCATGTCTCTGGAGCTTGTTTCTTGTCAGCGGCTGCATGCGAGCACGTCCCCCTCACCCCGGAACAACCAGCCCCAGGCACGCCGCCCTTCATCCTGCTTCCTTAGGATGGAGCTGCTTTCAAGTGTTTTTGTCCTCCTGTTTTTTTGTGTGCTTCTCCGCTACTGGTGCATGCATCCCTCTCCCGATCTGGGCCTCCTCCAACATTTTAACATTTGTTAATCAATCTTGTGAGGAAAACACAATCCTAGTTTTGTATGTATTTCCCTAATTATGAATGAAATTCAAGTATATGAGCAAGCTGCTCGCTCCTTTTAAAATCATTTCTATCTTTTAAATAGTTACCCCTGATCGAGACTCTTTGGATTATCTTTTTCTTAATAATATGTATGGACATTTGTAAATTGAAGAGCCCTTGGGGCCAGAGTGATAGGACAGTGAGCGGGGCGCTTGCCTTGCCCATGGCTGACCCTGGTTCCATCCCCAGAATCCCATAAACTCCACGAGGAGCGATTCCTGAGCTCAGAGCCAGGGGTAAGCCCTGAGCATCTCCAGGTGTGACCTACCCTGCCCTCAAAAAAAAAAAAAAGAGCCCTTAGTGTTAATGGGTATTACAACTATATCCAATGTGTAATTCATCTTTAGAATTACTTTGTGATTTTTTAAATTTGTTTTAACCATATGTAAGTTTTAAATTTTCGTGTAGTTAGACCTAGTAGATTTTTTTTTCCTTGTTGCTGGATCGTCTAATCAATCCAGCAATTAGACAAACTGGTAGGCTACCGAATGTAACCTGCCCACACAGCAGAGTCTGGCAAACTCCCCGTGGCATACCCAATATGCCAAATACCAGTAACAATGAAGGGTCTCATTCTCCTAACTCTGAAAGAGCCTTGAATATGGCACTTTTTAAAAAAAATCTCAGGGCTAGGACGAAGAGACGTTACTGGGGCCTGCTCGAGGCAATCGACGAATAACTGGATGGTTGTGATTGTGATATTCTCTTAAAATGTTTTAGTGTGTAATGGTCAGTTTTTTTTTTCTTTTTTTGTCTTATAGTTGACATCTTGCTGAAGGCTGTAGGAGACACTCCTATAATGAAAACAAAGAAGTGGGCTGTGGAGCGAACCCGAACTATCCAAGGACTCATTGACTTCATCAAAAAGTTCCTCAAACTTGTGGCCTCTGAGCAGTTGGTATGATCATTACCCTATCAAAAGCCACAGTAGTTTCTAAGCAACAACTATATAAAGTTCGACTGTTTCGTTTTTTGTTTGTGGAGGACCAGGGCCACATTTGAATTGTGGACCTGATATCTTTGTTCTGTCCCCCAATGCTGGGCCTCATCACTGCAGTGTTGTTTTCTATAACCCCCCCAACCCTTACCTTTCAAAAAAATCAACAACAAAAATAGACATCTTTATTTGCATATCACAATCTGGGCCAGTATTAGATCACAGATAGTATGAGTAGGTGGTTGAATAATCACCAAAGTAGTTTTAAAATATCACTTAAGAATTCGTCTATATAGGGACTGGAGAGAGAATACAGCAGGTAGGTAGGGTGCCATGCAAGTGCCTTACCCAGATTCGTTCCCAGGCGTCTCATGTGATCCCCAAGCACTGCAGGGAGTAAGTCCTGAGTGCACCCTGAACATCACAGAATGCGGCCCAAAAACAAAAACCAGGTGTGACCCAAAAACAAACAAAAAAAGAATATTTATTTGATGCAAGATTAACAGAGAGCTAGGAATTCCTCCAAAGGAAGTATCGTGAAAACTTTTTATTTTATTTATTTATTTATTTATTTCGGTCTGGTTTGGTTTGTAAACCATACACAGACACTTTCTGGCTACTCCCAACTTGATGTCTAGGGTCCACTCTCAAATATGTTCAAGGGACCCAAACACAGCCATGTAACTCAGGACACTAGTTCTTTGAGTTTTCTCCATGACTGAGGAAAGCTTTGGGTTTTACAGGTGAACCTCCTATATAATCAGAGTGGGGAAAAGCTGTTTTTTTGTTTTTCATATTTGTGCTCTACACCAATATGAAAAATTACACTTTATATGAAAAAAATTAAATGTCATAAATGGACTAGAAGATTACCAAATTATCCACATGAATATGACAGTTAAAACTTCAGAAACAGACATCCTAGCCTAGAGTACAACTAAATGTCTGGAGAAAGAAGACATGAACAGAAATGAGCAGACACATAAGAGTACATAATGAAGAATGGCAAGTTAAAAAATTGGAGGCACATGCCAAGTAAGACATTTCTTTGAGAAATGTAAAGGTAAAGGTAAAGGCCCTCCCGTTGATCGTCAATTTGCTCGAGCGGGCCCAGTAACGTCTCCATTGGAGACTTTGTTGTTACTGTGTCTGGCATATCGAATACTCTCGGTAGCTTGCCGGGCTCTCCGAGAGGGGCAGAGGAATCGAACTCGGGTCGGCCATGTTGGCCGCTTGTAAGGCGAACGCCCTACCCGCTGTGCTATCGCTCCAGCCCTGTGTATGTAGTATATAAATTATATATCATATGCAATTATATATATTTGGGACACATAATATGTATCATATATTACATATATAAAATAAACTAAAGGTGTAGTACTAGAAAAATATAAGATTAAATTATGATAAAAGGTAAAGGTAAAGGCCCTCCCGTTGTTCGTCGATTTGCTCGAGCGGGCCCAGTAACGTCTCCATTGGAGACTTTGTTGTTACTGTATCTGGCATATCGAATACTCTCGGTAGCTTGCCGGGCTCTCCGAGAGGGGCGGAGGAATCGAACTCGGGTCGGCCATGTTGGCCACGTGTAAGGCAAACGCCCTACCCGCTGTGCTATCGCTCCAGCCCTTGAGAAGTGTAAAGGTAAAGGTAAAGGCCCTCCCGTTGATCGTCGATTTGCTCGAGCGGGCCCAGTAACGTCTCCATTGGAGACTTTGTTGTTACTGTGTCTGGCATATCGAATACTCTCGGTAGCTTGCCGGGCTCTCCGAGAGGGGCGGAGGAATCGAACTCGGGTCGGCCATATTGGCCGCGTGTAAGGCAAACGCCCTACCCGCTGTGCTATCGCTCCAGCCCTTGAGAAGTGTATAGATAGAAAATGTTATGTCTTGACATTTTGATTGTACATATATCTAGTAATCTGAAAGGACTTGCTAACAGTGAATATTGAGTTGAACTATGTAAAATTGCTGACAATAATTCATTTTACTTATAAAGATAATTTCCTATGGTTCAACTTCAAGACTTAGTTATAACTCTGATTATCTCTTTAAGCAATTGAAAGCCAAAAAGTAAAATTGTTTCTATTGGTTTCCTAAATTTAACTCTTCGACTTTCTTCTTGCTGAGCCTCACATTATTTTTTAGTAAAATGGTTGTTAAAGAAAAAAGCTAATTCTGGGAATTCTGACAAGATAGCACAGGTATTAGAAGACATGGTTGAATCTCCCAAATTGCCATAACATAGCTAGGAACCAGGTAGAAGGATCGGGGTTCAGGACATACATCATATGTGCAAGCTGAGTTTGATCTCCACCATTGCTAGGTCCCCTTTTGGTCCTCCCCCAACCCAGCATTGCTAGGCCCTAACATTGTACTGAGACCCAGTTGACAAGGGGCTGCTAGGAGTGGTCCATGGTCCACTGACTAATGCTTGGGAGGGAGCTCTCCTCCTCACCCCCCCCCCCCACCCCCCGAAACAACATGGGAGCAGGAGTGGTACAGCGAGTAGGGCATTTGCCTTGCATGCAGCTGACCCAGGTTCGATTCCCAGCATCCCATATGGTCCCAAGCTCCGCCAGGAGTAATTCCTGAGTGCATGAGCCAGGAGTAACCCCTGTGCATCGCTGGGTGTGACCCCCCCTCCAAAAAAAAAAAAAAAGAAAGAGACAACGTAAGTAAACTAGATAGTAAAACAAATATTCAGCAAATAATAGGATTGGCACAGAGAAAAGGAGAACTAGAAGGCAGCAGATGATTATAGAATACCTGCATTAAGGCATAGAGAGGGTTCTGCAGCAGAAGTCAGTGAGAGCTCTCAGAACACACTCAGCTGCTCAGTATGGCTCTTCTATACAAGACCTCACACTGAGGAAAGACTTCTGGAAGTCAGGCAAAATTGAGTGGGATAAAAACATGGCAAAACAAGGAAAAGGAAAGAACAGATTAGAATGAAGGGGGACAGAAACTAGAAATCTCAAAAAAACAGCTCTCTGCCTCCTTAACACTACAAAAATCAGAAACTGTGCAGTTAGTAAAACTTCACCAAGCTACTTACCTGTAAAGTTGAAAAAAATTGTAGCATGTAAAGATAAGCAAAGTAGTGTCAAGGTCAGTTTTCCATGCAGTATAAGAAGCTACAGTAACATACCTAAACAAAGCATGCCAGAAAATTGTTCCTGTAAGATAGGTAACTAACATTTCACAACAAGTTGAGAGCGATTTTAAAAATAATTTGACATGAAAGAACAAATGAATCAACATTAGTCAGACTCAGCGGCACTTAACTCAGGAAAAGACAAATAAAGGGGGCTAAAGAGATAGCTCAAAGGGCTAGAATGCATTTTTGTCCGTAGGCAGCTCAGGTTCAATTATAGTCCCACCTGGTCCCTCCAGCACTGCCCAGTATGGCCCACAAACCAAAACAAAGACTTTAAGTTATTTCAGCATTGGAGACTAAATGTAGAACATAATAGCAAACAGCAGCTAATGCCTTAAGAAAAATAGGCAAATAAATTGTTAAACTCAGAAAAGAAAGGTAATAAAGATTAGACAGTGATACAGTGAGAATCAGTAAAGGTTGTTGAACTAAGGATAATGGGAGTCCCTGAAGAAAAAGAAAACAAAGGAACAAAATGTTCTAAATACAACTCTGAGGAATTAAGATACAGAATTTTAAGCTACGTACTAAAGTCATGCCAAGTACTTGAAAATAAATCAACCCAGAATAATGAGTACCAAGGTATTCCAATAAAATTACTGGACATAGAATAATTCTTTGCCATGAAGGGAGTAAAAGAGGATATGACTTAGGAAAAATACTAAATTATCTTCAAACTTTGACAACCAAGATATTAGGAAAGACAATATAAGACTTTCATATACAACAAAACTGACTTTTGGACTGGAGAGATAGCACAGCGGGTGTTGCGTTTGCCTTGCACATGTCTGACCCAGTTCAATTCCCAGTATCCCATATGGACCCCCGAGCACTGCCTGGAGTAATTCCTGAGTTGCAGAGCCAGGAGTTACCCCTGTGCATCGCCAGGTGTGATCAAAATGCAAAAAATAAACTGACTTTTAAACAGCACAAACAGGCAGGGTTGGGGTGGGGACTTTGCCTGTATGTAGCAGCTTACCTGGGTTCTGTCCCTGGCACCCCATACGATACCCTGAGCATCACCAGGAGTAAGTTGTGAGTGCAGAGCCAAGAGCATCTGAGCCTGACCACTGCTAGGTATGGCCGCAAAATCAGTAAATAAACAGCACAAACTACTGGCAATGAGTAAGAACTCAGAATATTATTCCTAATCTGAGGAATCTAATGGAGAAAGCTTTTTAGACAACAAAATTGGATATAAATATAAAGAAGGTTGATTTGAAAACAATTATTGTTTAATACTAAAATGAGTTTTCTAAGTTAAAACATTTAGCAGAAGGTTACATATTGAAATTTAACTTCTATGGGTTTTAAACTAACTGATTTAAGTAATTGTTAGTATCTGTTGTTCTCTGCTACATCTGTCCTAATGTTCTCTCAAAACTCATACCTATCTTATTTTTGGCCTTTATGGTCCTTTTTTTTTTAAACCCAGTTATCTTAATCCCTCAGGTATCTCTTCTAGGAAGTCTTCCCTGGCCTTTTTTGCTAAGCTAATGATACTTCTCTGTGTTCCTTGTCAGAAGTGTTTTTCCTATATATTTTTTTTGTTTCTCTTGGGGACTACACCCAGCGGTACCAGGGACATGCATACAGAGCATGTGCTCCAGCCCTTTAAGCTGTGTCCAGTCCCCTGCCTATATTCTTAATTATACATGTATGTCTTTCTCAAATGAAATGAAAACTCATTAAGAAGATATCCTATAAATTTTCATGATCCTGTCCCTTGAACTGTTCCTAGACAATCAGTGAAATATTTCTGAAACAAAATTGTCATTCTAAGCCCTAACTCTAAATTAAAATACAAAAAAAAGTAAAATATGTTGATTTATATCTAAATTTCCAGCCAAACACAAACTGTCGAAAATCTGTGTATTACAAGAAATTCACATTAGACTGGCCCTGATATCATAAATTTAAATTCAGACTCATTTAGGTAACTGGATACCTGATCTCTGAGGGCAGTCAACAGGAACTCTGCATGGCCTTAGTGATTGTCCTACTTTTCATCTTTTTATCATGAGAGCTGTGGAGGTGTAGCCAGGGATGAATCCATTCAGAGATAAGTGCTAACTGATCTGGCTGAGGATTGGGATCTGCTTTCTGAGAATGCCTTTGGGATGATTGAAAATTCTAGGTAATTAACAGTTCGTGAGTTCACCAGCAGCCATTGGCAAGTGAAGAGACTTGCTGCCTCCAACTACAGTAGATTTTGTTGACATAAAAGAAGACTTCTCACTAGCAATCTTATACCCGAAATTGTAGATTATGGAATACAAGCTATCTCTTTGTTTAAAAACAAGTACTTACACCCAAAAGAAGTATTTATAAAATTCAGTAAAATACTTTCAGAGAGGAAAAAAAATTCATATTAAAGTACACACTGATTTCTACTTTTGATCTAGAACCTTACTTCCTTAGCGTTGAATTGATATTTAAGCATGAACTCATACTGTTTTTGTTGTTGTTGTTTTAGGGTCACACCTGGCTATGTTTAGGAGCTTCCACAACCTGTAGTGTTGGGTAGCTGTTGCTCTGTGCAGTGCTCTTTGTACCATAGGGTTCCAGGGATCAAACCTAACCCTATTTTTCAATACTTTAAGGATTTAAGGGATGGAAAGATACTTCAGTGGGCTAGAATGCATGCTGTGCATGCCTGAAGCATATTTGGTCCCTAGAAGCACCACAGGTGTAGCTCAAAATCCTAAATTAACATAACTAGTGCCTACCAAGCAAATATATCAAAGGCACAGATGATTGATGTGCATCATCTCATTTTATCTTTACCAACAGCCCCAAGAAGTATAGGTAATATTTTCGTATTTGCATATAAGGAAGCAAGCTGAGAAGAGTTAAATTATTAGAGGATGCATCAAAACCTATTTGTCAACAGATATTTGTCAACAGAACCTATTGTCTTAACTAAGACAGGTACTAGAACTCAACTGTATTGCCTAGGGGTGCTTATTTATTTTTTTGAAGCAAGTAAGCTTTTATTGAATGAAGCTCGTTTAAGGAAAATGTGAGGTAGAAGGAAAGGATACATACTCAAGAGAGAACACAAATTTGAAAGAGCAAGCAAGCAGGGAGAGAGATGTGTTCAAGGGAGAACACTAGCTTGAGAGAACTAGCCAGAGTGTTTATTCTTATTGAATTAATTTAGATGCCAGCCAACTACCTTGATAACTTATTTTAAGATTATGTTAAACCTAAGAAACTTCATCCTTAGAATTTTGATAATAGGTAAGGGAATATTTAATGCTGCCCACAAATATGTTCTGTTTTTTAAGAGAAGGTTATTAAAAGCCAGTTTGAGTATGACTTTTGTTTCCATCTCTATAAGAATTTTAGTCAAAACAGACTCAGCTGAAACACTGAACAAGGAATCCTTTAAGAGAACAACGTTGTGAGGGTTTCACTATGTTACATTTTTTTCTGACTCCTAGATTACAGCTGACCTTGTAGTAGTTTAATACCTTTGAGAGTTTTCAAAGCTGGTAGAGATGGTTTTGATTTTTTTTAATACAACTATATTTTTCAGTTATCCTAAGGCATAGTCTATCTCAGATTTGACTTTTGATTATGAAAGTATGTGAAATTTTGTTAAATTAGTATATTTTAAAATGCCATCTATTAGCTTTCAAAAGCTTTTTGTAAAAACTTTTTTTCTATCTTTTTTTGGGGAGGAGCCTCCCAGGATGACCACTCCAGCTAACCCCAAGGGTTTAATGCTAGGGCCTGAGGATGCACAATGGTGTCTGGGGACTGCCAGTGCTTGGGGAATGAGGGGGCCCCAAATCCTATAAAAACAATATTTGCTGTTTCTTAATTATAAAAAGTTTGGAGCCACTATTCTAGGAATAAAAATTTATATTCTTCCAGAAGACAGGTAAAATCTTTGTAATTGACTAACTTATGAGACTTAGAAGAAGGAATTTAGGAATGTCCTCAGTTCTAAAGACAATTTGAAATAGCTGACTGAAAAATGCAGATTATTAATCCATGTACCATTAAAAATAATTGCCATATATTCCTTTTTTTCTTGTAGTTTATTTATGTCAATCAGTCTTTTGCACCTTCCCCAGACCAAGAGGTTGGAACTCTCTATGAGGTAATACTGCTTTGTTTTAGTGGAATGCACACACCTTTTATCATCATTAATCCACATCATTATTTTGAGAGATAATACAATATACTTAATCAGGAAAGAAGTCCCTTGTTTTCTGTTATATACCTTGAATATAGTTGGATCTCAATAATTACACAGTGATTAAAGAATGAATAACAAAAGATGACTTTGTAGTACATCCAGGAAATAAGATCCTCTTTTTTTTATATATACCTATAATCTAGTTTCTTCTATAATATTCATATAATCAATAATACAAATGGGCCTCAAAAAATTTAAGAGACTACATGAGAATGACGTAGGGTCTGAGATAATATGGTGAGTAAAATACTTAACTTGCACATGGCTGGCCCTTTTCAATCCCCAAAATCCCATCTGGTCTCCAGCAGCACCAGAAGTGATGCCTGAGCAGTCAGGTATGGATGGGTGGGGGGCGGGGAAGAAAGACTTTACTCATCATTTTTGGAGAGAGTTTTATGTGTACGTTAACTTGGTATACATGAAAGTTTACCATTGGTATACATTGAGTTTATTTGAACCACACCCACCAGTGCTCACGGACTACCCCCAGTCCTCTTGGGGCCATGTGGTGACAGGGATCAAACCTGGGTCTCCTACATGCTCCATCCTGTTGAGACATCTCTCCGGCCCCATTTTTATAGTTTTATAGCAATAATTACTAAAGTATACATACTAACATCACAGCTAGAAAACAGCTAAGCTTTTATAAAGATTCAAAGGACTTGGGGCAGGGGATGTGGCTCAGAAAAAGAGAACTTACCTCACACATGTGAGGTCCTGGGTTCGATCCCCACCACCATGAAAAAAAGTATATATTTTTTTAAATTTTATTTATTTTTATATTTTATATATATATAGACATATATAAAGATACGGAGAGATTAAAATATATAAGCCTGATAATTTGAATCAGTTTGGTTAGCTTTACTAGAATACTTACATAAATGAAGATACTTATGGTACATATGTTTTTTTTTTTTAGTTTTATTTAAGTATAACCAAATTTGAATTTAATACTGCTCTTTTTTTCTTGCAGTGTTTTGGTAGTGATGGTAAACTGGTATTACATTACTGCAAATCTCAAGCATGGGGATGAACTACAGAGGAAAAGGTTCCTGCTTACTTAAAGTGAAACTTCATAAAGGAAGCTTCTCAGAAAGTTGTAATAATTATGGCAAGAGACTTAGGAATATGACCTCCTCAGAATGTATCTACAGTGACCCGTATTTATGCACTTAAAAATCCAGAGTGGATGAACTCACACAAACATAATTTGTAGTAAAACATAATTATCATAAAAGATTGACATTAGAGTACACATTACTACAATTATACCTCTAGGAATTTTTTCAAGGTGTCGGAAAGGAGAATAAGACTGTAAAACTGCTATATGGGCTTGCAAATAGTGATTGAAATTATTTACTTGTAGACTTAGCACTCTACCTTTTTCTGTTGTAAAAGTCGATTTGTAAGAGATTATTTTGTGTTTGTTCAGTCCAGTTTGTGTGAGATACTCCTATGCCTTTTTGTGTTTACATTTATATCTGCAATGTTAATGAAAATCTCCTTAATCTGCTGGCTGCATACCTCACATGAATCCAGCAGAGGGCAGCCCAGTTAGCAGAATTAAGACATTTGGTTTTTACATCTTTGGCAGAAGATAATGAAGGGGGAAAAGTTGTTCTTGTTCATTTCAAGTAACATCTAACCAAGAGAACCAGCTTGTTGACACACTGGAAGGTTACTTTAGTGATTATACATGGCTTAAATTAGTTATTTTGTTGGAAAACATATAATTTTATAAATCCGGACTAAAATACAACACTTTTCAGTTCTGTCAATGATTCTTGAGTATCTTGGATATATCTGTAGTATTGTTTCATTTTACACTGTTACAGCGCTCAATAAACCTGACAAAACTTTAAAGTTTTTTGTTGCATTTTCCCTTTGAAAATGTTCAACAGAATAATTGGAAAAGCAATTTTAGATCTATTTTTGTCTATTTTGTCCCATTCTATAAGTACTATTTTTATTGCTATTAGATTAATACAAGTAATGCTTCAGGTGAGACATTTAAGATTGGAGTTACTTTCTGTATTATATATCAAATAAGTTTTTTAAAGTCAACAAATTGAATGGTCTGTCCAAGCAAGATCTAAGATATATATGAGAATTTTAAGGGTTTATTTTCAATGGTATTAGGAACAATATGATTTTGTCAAGGTGCTTGAAGTATAGGTCCCTTTATATCTTTCGGTCCCATAATGTGCACTATTGTTAATCTGACAAGTGTTAGCATTAGAAGTTGCTATGGAACAGTTCAGTTTACAATGATAACGTTACTGTTTCATTTTCTGTTCAATAAAGAATTATGACATCCCTTTAAAGTGGTATCTCTGTGGAATAAATTATTAGAGTTAATAGCTTGCACTGAAATAATACAGGTTAAATTGTAAAATTGTATCTTCTAGGATTAAGAAATATATGTCTTGAAAGCTGGAAAAAAATTTTGACAAATAGGTTGAAAATGGAAAAGATCTATTGTCTATAGTTTATTAAAGTATGTTAAAATATTTATCTGCATATATCTTTTGAAAAATATATGTTTGCAAGTAAGATTTGTAATTGCAAAATATTTATTACTTCTGCAGTCAAAACTACTTGAGTTTGAATTTATGACTTCAGTTTTTTCTGTTTTTATCTAAACTTATAGTTGATTAAATTTAAAGATAATACCATGTATTTTGTTTTCTTCCTTAACAACCATGAAAAATACATAGGACTTAATATTTAACATTTACTCAAATCATACTTATTAACATTACCATATCAAGCCTTACACAACAGTAAGATTTGCAACCTTGCAACATTTACTTTTTTAAGTGTATATATAAATATCAATGTCTGATTCACATTGAAGTCAAATTTGGGTTTTTTAAGTGTTGAGAGTAATGTCATGCTTTATCTTACCGTGCAAAATAACCACAGTTGTACTAATTGAGACTACTGTATACATTATACATTGTATGCGTTGTTTACCAAGTGCTTTGTAATGAGTTCCCCATTTTTAGAGTAAGCTAAAACTATTTATAATCAAAGCAACTATAGTAATGACTTACTGGAAGTTTTAATAAAAGGCATAACTCGCTTTATTCAATCACATAAAAAAGCTGAAGAGGGTGTAGAGTGATAATTAGCAGATGGGACACTTGCCTTGCATGTGGCCTTCCCTAACCCAAGATCTGGCACCACATAAGGTCCCCCAGGCCTGCCAAGAGTGATCCCTGAGTACAGATCCAAAAGTAAGCCCTGAGAACTGCTTGATGTAGCCCCCCCAAAAAAACACAAATAATTGAGGCAGCGTCAGAGAGATAGCTCACAAGCTGAGTAAATGCTCTGCATGTAAAGATGCCCAGGTTTGATCCCTGGCACCACATGGTCTTCTGAGCACCAATGGAAGTCGCTCCCAGCACTACCAGATGTAGTACAAAAGCTAAAACAAATAGCAAAAAAATAAATAAATTTGCAGGGTACCTTGGGATATGACTCAGTGGTAGAGTGCAGCCTATCTTGTATAAGGTTCTGGGTTCAATCTCCGGTATCCTTCTGACTCTCCCTCAAAAGAGAATATACCTTAGTCATACCTTACATAGATTAGATTAGTCATAGAAACATAGATATAGATTAGTCATCCATTATGGATCTCTATCAGAAAGGGAAAGCCTGTGGTAGTCAAGGAATATAAAAATGAAAATCACTATTCGTGCAGTTGTTCCATTTTCTAAGGATTATATTTGCTAAACTGGCTCTGGAAAAGACCACATCATGAAAGGGAAAATTCAGAAAACAGTTCATCAGATTTAGTCTTAGAAATACTATTTCGCTACAATGTTATCCAACCCAAAGTGTTAAGCAACTCATTTCTCAAAGTGTACTTTTACCTTCGTGTCTTAAAATCCTAAGTTTCTAGGACTGGAGAAATAGAACAGCAGGTAAAATGCTTGCTGTGCATGTGGCCAACCTAGGTTCAATCCCTGGCACCCCATGTAGTCCAATGAACACAGCCCGGTGTGACCCAAAGAAAGAAAATAATGCTACCTTCCTGCCTAATCCTTTCCTTAAAACTTGTCTGGGTCACTCTTTCCATTCTCATTGTAAAATCCAAGTAGTTGGTTTCACTACCTGCAATCTTCTGTGCCCAAAATCCTCATGGCTTTCTGTATCTGAACAAAAGCAGGATTCCTTACACGGTCTTTCAAAGGCCTTCATGGTCTTCCCACTTCTCCCACACTTTCTGTACCTATGATCATCTTTGTTGTTATTGCAGTACCATACTCTCATCCCATGACTTGCACTTGCCATTCCTCCATCTGGAGATTTGTCCAAACAACTGGGTCTCATAATCTCATCCCGACTCAAAAATCACCTCATTAAGAAAGTTATGTTCCTCTGAACTCCATCCAAAACTGCTGACCTCACATTACCTTTTTTGCTCCACCTCATTTTTCTCTATCCTATACTCCACATTATCACTGTTGTTTACAGTATCTGCATTTATTTCTCCATATGTCCTGAATGCAGTGTTGGTATGTTACCCCACTTGTCCCTAAGCCCTCTGAGAGTATGCTGCCCTATTTATTTTTAATTTTTATTAGTGAAACACCATGAGGTACAGTTGTAGACTTACAAATTTTTGTGCTTGGGTTTCAGTTATACAATGATCGAGTACCCATCCCTCCACCAGTGCCCATTCACCACCACTGATCCCAGTATCCCTCCCACCCCCATACCTCCCAGTCCACCCTGCCTCTGACTTGTTAAAGAAACGTTGATACATCTACACAATGGAGTACTATGTAGCTGTTAGAAAAGATGAAGTCATGAAATTTACATACAAGTGGTACTACATGGAAAGTATCATGCTAAATGAAATGAGTCAGAAAGAGAGGGACGGACATAGAAAGATTGCATTCATCTGGGGAACATGAAGTATCAAAATAGGAGACTAACACCCAATAGCCGAGATAGGTACCAGGAGGTTTACTCCATGGCTTGGAGGCCAGCCACACATGCTAGGGGAAAGGGCAGCTCAGATAAAGAAGCGAGCACCAGATAAAGGGGACTGGGAGGATCCTCTCAGGGTGGGAGATCGATGTGAAAGTAGAACTACCGACCGAACATGATTGCCACTCAATGCTGCCCTATTTTTATTAAAGTTTTCAAATTTATTTGTTTTGTGGTGTGTGTCCCAAGTGGTACTCAGAGGTCTGGGGCCACTGAACAATGTCATGCTAACTGGACGAAAGGATGCAATGCTGCTTAGGACTGTGTGTCACCCTGGTGGGTGCTCAGACACTAACAAGGCTATATCCAGTAGTGCTTGAGAGGCCATGTAATGCTGGGGATCGAGATGGGTGTATGCAAGGTAGGTACCTTAAATTCCAGCTATTTAGTTCACACTTTTGAAAAGGTACTAAGTGGATAGATGAATCCTTTCATTTCTGTCATTCTCTGGAAATCGATGGCAGTGTCTTAAAATGTGACAGTCAAGCCCTAAATAATGCAGAATATAGAGAAACTACTACTACTCTGAATCTAAGTATTTTACATGAGTTAATAAACCTATAATACTCATCACCCTTTGTTTTTTACAATAGTTTAAAATATACACTTGTTTTAGTTTGGTTTGGGTCCAAAACCAAAGCTTAGAGCTTAGTCTTGGCTTTATGCTCTGGGGTCACTCCTGGCAGGGCTTGGAGACCATATAAAGTGTCAGGGATTGAACCTAGGTTAGCCATATGCAATGCAAAGCTCTTTTCTTGCTGTATTGTCTTTCCAGCCCCATAATAATATAAAACTCTTGAGAGAGAGGATCCCTTTGCAGAAAAGCCAAAAAGTGAGAAAGAAGTCTTTGCTGGTTATGAACTCACTTTCTCATGGCCCCTCAAGAAAAACTTCACTGAACTAGCGCACATCCTAGCCAACTAAAAATGTGCTTTTCCTGACCTCACCATCATTCAGACACAAGGTGCTGAGTAGGAAGCATGGGGGTGTGGTGAGAGGAATGTAGGAAGTGATCAGCATAAAAGATAGTATGTGTCCTAAAGGTTTTCACTGTTAGATGTTCAACTGGGAGGAGGAGGCAATGCTAAAAGTTGGTAAAGGGTTCCGTATGAAACCCTATGGGTATCCACACTATAAACCACAGTACAAACAGAAATAGACTGATGACTGGGAGGCAAAGGAGGGCCAGGGGTGGGATGGGAGAGTGGGGGTGGGGGGCTGTTGGAAGGAAGTGGACACTGCTGACAGCCCTTGATGTTGAAACATTGTATGCCTGAAACCTAAAGTAAGTAAAGGCCCTCCGGTTGATCATCGATTTGCTGGAGGGGCCCAGTAACGGCTCCATTGGAGACTTTGTTGTTACTGTGTTTGGCATATTGAATACATCACGGGGAGCTTGCCAGGCTCTGCCCTGCGGGCGAGATACTCTCGGTAGCTTGCTGGGGAGAGGGGCGGGGAATCGAACTCGGGTTGGCCTGCGTGCAAGGCAAACTCCCTACCACTCCTACTGGGAGGAGGAGGCAATGCTAAAAGTTGGTAAAGGGTTCCGTATGAAACCCTTTATCATGGCCCCTCAAGAAAAACTATCGCTCCTAATCATGAACAACTGTGTAATTTTATGAGTACTAAATAAAATATATTTTTTAAAACCTTGAAAAAGGTTACCCCTGAGCATTGCCAGCTATGGCCGAAACCCCCCCAAATTAAGTAAAGGTAATTTAGAGCCAAAATGTGGAGAACTTTAAATGCTAGGTAGAGAAACCTGTGTGTAAGAAGTTACTGAACAAGAGAAGCCAGAGTGACAGTAGGGCAGGTAGAGCACTTGCTTTGCAGGTGACTGACCAGGATCCATTCCTGGCATACCATATGTTCCCCTGAGCACAGAACCAGGAGTAAGTTCTGAGCAGTGCTGAGTATGACCCAAAACCTCTCAAAACTCTTTTCTCACAAGAAATTGGCAGTCTGTAACTTAGATTAATTTATGTAATGCCTGTAAATAAATTATTAGAGATAAGGGGAAGGACAACAAGACATTTGGGATACAAAACTGAGCATTTATTTGAAAAGGAGCAAAGAAAGCAATAAATCAGGGAACAGTGGGTAGGAGTTCTGAATCTGGGTAATGTCATGCAGTTAGAGAACCTCGAGGTGTAGAAAAAATATCCTTGGGTTTCTAATATATTGCATTTGAAGAGACAAAAAGTGGTAAGATTGTAAAATTAGGACCTATGGTTGCATCCACATGGAAGTGATAACTGCAATCGAGTGTGGAAAGAGGATTTAAAGGAGAGTCAATAGATAATGAATGTGAATGTAGCAATATTAGGAAAAATTCTTAAGATCTTTGAAGGTCAAGAGCCAGAGAAAGTAGGAAAAGAATTGCTGGAAATTTTAGAGACGTGTAATCCACTGTGAAACGCAACAAAGATAAGCTTGTGTTTAATTTTGTTGTTGTTAATTTCAAGTATGGATTAAAATACTGGGAATGATGCTGGGTATTAAAATACCCAGTAGAAATTCTGATAAGAATAAAAATAATATTGGATAAAAATAATATACAAAATGTACATTACTCTTACCCAAAATAATCAACCACCTTTCCTTGCAATATGCATCACAAAATGTTGGTTTCTATCTTGTCTTCTACCTGTAGCCCTTTTTGAAAAATGGTGTTGGATCCTGCCGTTTTAATTCATTGTTAGACTACTTACACTGTAAGCAATTTAAGCAAGGATGCTGAAGACTGCAGGTAACCCAAGTAAATTTAGATAAACACACATACACCAATATGTATATACATGTCTTGAAACAAACCTATTTTTAAAAAGACTTCTTTTATAAATCTTAATCTGCAGTACTCTTGAACCCAAATCATTCCTTGGGTTTTTGTAATGAAGAAGAAGGAAACATTATGGCATTTCTTTTAACCATCAAATTTCATCATACTTCATGGTTTCCTCAGTGCTAAATGCTTTGCGCTATATGGAAATACATTTTCTTGTAGGAAACGCAAGCACTGACTTATATTTAATACGGTCTTTTTTTAAATATCAAAAGTGTTATATTAGATTTAATATCAAAGGTGTATGTTAGCTTTCAAGAAGACTATGATTTCAAAAGTCAAAGACCAAAGACAGTCAAAGAATGATCGTACTCATTTGTGGGCTATAAAGAAACATACAAAGAGAATTAGTGCCCAAAGACAATAGCAAGGGCCAGAGCAGTTCACCAGTGTGGGGGAAGGGACACTAGGACAGGGAAGGGACCACTACGACAAGGATAGGGGGACGCGATCAATTTGGATGAGAACTGGGTGCTGAAAGGAGTTAAAATAATAAGCACGATATGCTTTCAGTGACAGTTGCAAAGCACAGGTCTAACTAAAGAAGAAGGGGAAAGTGCCTGCCATAGAAGTGGGGGGGGGGGGGGGCCGGCGGGAGGGAAGAGAACAATGGTGTAGGGATTGGTGCTTTGTCGTCGTGTGCCTGAAACTCAATCATGAATAATTTTGTAACTTTGTAATGCACGGTGATGTAATTTAAAAAAAAAAAAAACTCGAAGACGAAAGCCGAGTTTTTCGTGGTTTCACTCGTTAGGCTCGAGAGTTCCTTCGTCAAAATATACTTTCAATGCAGTGCGTTCACTTTTTTTTTTTTTTTAAGGAAAATTTTGACTTGTTTCACTTATCTTACGGAGGGTTTTAAAGACGAAACAGCTCCGGGCTTGGGCACGGGAATCCATCCTCTGCCTCCGCAAGCCCTTCCCCTTTCCACGGCTCTTTCCCTCTCTCCTTCCTTCCCCTCTCGTGGCCTTTTTCTGATTCCCAGCTGGCTCGGTCCCAACATCACCCACCTGGGCCGCCCGGTCGAACTGCTCGGGGCTGCGGGCCGTGGGGGGCACGGAGAGAAGGGAGCCGGGATGGGCAGCCAAATCGCGCCGGGTGAAAGCAGGGTGCAGAGGTGGCGCGGAGCCCCGGTCCCTGCTCGAATCCTGGAGAGAACGCGGCGGGCGAGGGGCAGGGTCGCGCCGCGCGCGGGGGCGGCGGGCGTGGGCCGCTCCCGCAAGCTGTCGCCGCCTCCGCCGCGATTCCCAGGTCTCTGCCCGCCTCTCCCCACCCTCCGAGGGGCGGTGGTACAGTCCCGCTGACACCAGAGAGCTTAAAAAAGGGCCCGGGAGGCTGAAGCCGTCAGCGAGGTCCTGATTTGTGTGCACGGCGCGTTTCCCAGCCGGCCCAGATTCGCCGCGCTGCCAAGAGGGGTTTTTCTCCTGAGATCTGGGCGAGGGCTTCTGGCCTCTTTGTCCCCCGACGGCCAGTGCGGGTCCGTGGGTGCCAGCGCGTGCGGGCGTGCAGGGTGTGCGTGTAGCTTAGCCGGCTGCTGGGACCCTCGTGTCGGCCCCGCCGCCGCTGCCCAGCCAGCAGGGAGACGCGCCTGCAGCCAGAGATGGAGCAGACCGAGGTGCTCAAGCCCAAGACCCTCGCGGATCTCATCCGCATCCTCCATCAGCTCTTCGCGAGCGAGGAGATCAATGTGGAGGAGGTGCAGGCCGTCATGGAAGCTTATGAGAGCGACCCCGCCGAGTGGGCAAAGTACGCCAAGTTCGACCAGTACAGGTGAGCGTGCACGAAGCCCCGCGCCGCGAGGATCCGCGGGTGGGTGCGTGCAGGCCTCCGAGTCGCTGCACCAGCGGCGGAATAGCGAGGGGGTGGGGGGAAGCGGAGAGCAGCTCTGGGCTTTTGCAGAGAGACCCCAGTCGCGCCGCGCCCACCCTGCCTGGACTCGCAAAGCCGCGTTTGTTTCTGCCCTAGCCGCTGCGTTTGGCTCCGGGGCGCTCCGAGCTTCGGGCTTGCAGCGGGATCGTTTGCTCCGAGCTTCGGGCTGCAACACGGTGTTCGCAAGGACCGCGGCAGGCTCCGCTCTGGGAGGCCACCGAGCCGCGGAAAACTTGGCTGTTCTCTCCTCCAAAAAGCCACTCGTGCTCGCGGGCTCCGATGCAGAGCCCTTTCTCCAGCGGCGATCGATAGCACGCGGCGCTGCGCGGAGGCCGGGTGGCCCGGGACGCGCAGAGTCCTGTCCGCCCGCCGCGCTCAGAACGGGCGGTGCCCGCAGGAGCGATCCCCACCAGCCGCCGGGAGAAGTCCGTGGCCACCTGGCACCTCCCAGTAGGGGGCAGCTAGTCATTTTTCTTTCTATGGTGTCCCCTTCGTTTCAACTTCCAGTGGGCTTACTTAAATCCACTGTTAGGTTCACCAGTTAAAACCCCCATCCCTCTTTCAGCCCCTGTTAAAGCGGTTTGGTTTTTCGGATCCTTTGTTCGAAAAGGGGTCTGGAAGACCGCGCCATCTCAGAGGTGCCCGGACTGTGTGTCTGCTGTGCGTGGAACTCTGATTAGGCTGGGTGCAAAAGTGAAAAAAGCGCATCCCTACAATCCTTCAGGGCAAAAATATAATCGAATCACCCCAAAGGGTGAGTATCTTTCCCAAAGGGCAAAGAAAGAGAAGTGGGTCCGGGAAAAAGCGGTCAAACACTTGTCCTGCTACTGTGAAGTCCTGGGTTCAATCCCTATCATAAAAGGGAACGGAAAAGATTTTTTTTTTTTTAAAGAAAGGGTTAAGGTTTGTTTGGAACCACTTTCATCTAGTCACTTTCCCTCAAGACAATGTTTTATCAGACTTAATTGCATTAGGTTATTTTAACCTATGTTTGGTTCTGAAATTTTAAAACAGAAGCGTCTTTAGATCTTATCTTCCACTTGCAAGTATCTGCTAGAAATTCCTTTGTTCCAATCAATTCTTGGCTAGTTCCTTTGGTGACATTCACTAAAGTCACAGAGGTATAATTTTGAATTTGGTGCTATTAGTTCCAGACTATTCAGGACTTCTTGTGGACCAGTAACTCTTCTGCACAAGTATTAATGCATTTACCTCACAATAGTGCTTGAGATAGGTACCATTCTTCCCCTTATCTTACAGGCAATAAAAACTTGAGTTACCTTATAACCTCCATCTAAGAGATCTTCTATCAAATCTTGAACACAATGTTAATCAGTTTAACAATAACTCAGGGATACTGGGATTATTGGGGGTGGAGAATGGGCACTGGTGGAGGCATGGGTACTCGATCATTGTATAACTGAAAACCAAGCACAAAAAATTGTAAGTCTACAACTGTACCTTATGGTGTGCCACTAATAAAAATTTTTTTAAAAAAGTAAAGCAAAAAAAAAAAATCTTGAGCACATGGATTCAACAGAGCATGATTATTCTAGAGCCTATACTCTACGACCACTACAAAACTCTGCAGATACATTGGGTTTTCCTCTCCCTGGATAATTGGCCAAGTGAAATTAATAGAGGCTGGCATGTAGAGGATCTTATTCTAGAACAAGAGTGTTTTCTAAGGACATGTTAGCAGCCATAAATCTTTTGAATTGCAATCACTTGGGCTCTTCTATTCCATAGGAATCTGAGGGATAACAGGAATATGGGTGCAATTCTGACTGAGCAGTTGGTGAAGTAGGAAGGGAAGGAGGTGGAAGAACAGAGATCAGTTTGATAATGTGATTTTCAAAGAATGGAGTCCTAGCTATGAAGGATCTGACCTCTGGTCTTGGGAAGACCAATGCTAAAGAACCAAAAGAGAGTTTAAGTTTCAGTGTGGGTCTGAGACAATTTCCTGGATGAAACCCCAGAGAAGTAAGAGGGGTAAATTTAAGAGTGGTGGAGGAAGAAGAGAGGGCTCTGGAATGGAAAGTGAATTTATCGTGAAATTGAAAACATAGCCCCTTGGGGTCCGAGGTGAGAGGGGCCTACAAAGCATGGAAGGCTGGCATCAAAAAAGAACTTACAACTCCAGTCTCAGAGATCCTGACTGAAATTTAGGAGAGTAGAGGCCCTAAGAAGGTCCAATATCTGGGCTCAATATCTGACATAAAGCATTTTTAATAATTTGTAAAAATTAAATAGATGACCGTGTCATCAAACATTAACCCAAAAACAGCATCAATATTCCTAAAAATTCTTTAAAATTAAAAAAAAGTTCCTAAATTAAATTCTTCATTATCTGAATTGTGTTGATTATAATGGTGTAAATTTTTCCTCTTGGACCAATATAAACTTTAAAATGGATTTTTTTCCTGATGGCATGGTTATAGTTGTTTTACTTTGCAAATTATCACTTTCTCCTTACTTAAAGGCTTACGTATTATGTGACTTTTCATTATGAGTATTTTTTTTTTTTGCTTTTTTGGGTCACACCCAGTGATCCTCAGGAGTTACCTCTGGCTCAGCACTCAGGAATTACTCCTTGTAGTGCTCAGGGGACCCTATGGGATGCCAGGGATCAAACACAGGTTGGCCATGTACAAGGCAAATGTCCTACCTGCTGTACTATCACTCCGGTTCCGATTATGAGTCTTTTGAATGTGATTTGTGCTTGGGATTTAACGAAACTGGGGGATTCTGGAAATTATTTAATGAAAACTCACTGTTGTAGTTTAGCTACGTGACGTGAAAGAAAAACAAAAGAAATATTCTTGCATAGAGTAATGCACTTTGCAAGGACCTTCTATGAGAAACTTATTCTTCTTATCAGTTTGAGCCAGTCTCATAAGAATCAAGGAATTTGTGGGGTTTGTGTTTTCTCTTACTCTAAATCATTAATTAAAACTGAGCATTCTTATCTTTTGGTTGGGGTTTGTGTTTTTGTTTTCTTGGTGTGGGGAGGTGGGATGTCAGGGATCCAGACCAAAGTCTCATGTCTACACAGCATGTACTCTGCCACTGAGCCACATCCTCGGCCAGAAGCTGAGTATCTTAAAATGTGGTGATTCAACTTATAAAAACGTCCAAACTAAACTTTTCAAAGAAGTCTTTATTTTCATTTGTACCAGATTTTATTTTTAATTAGAAAACCACATTCATCTTTACTTAGAAATAGAAACATTGGTGAAAGAAAGATACTTTGTGACACTTGCTTTTCCCCTGTTCTGGTTTTATCAACTAACTTTTAAACTTCTGAATATTCTTTTTAGATATACCCGAAACCTTGTGGATCAAGGAAATGGAAAATTTAACCTTATGATTCTGTGTTGGGGTGAAGGACATGGCAGGTAATCCAGCTCTTTGTTTACTGTTTCCCAACACCCTCTTCCTCCCCTCCAGAATATCTATTCCAGTTTATAAAAATATACAGTGTCATACTGGTCACAAGAATTAGGAACCCCAAAAATCTTATTTTGTAAATATTTGTTCATGAAGTTTCTTAATGCCCTCCCAAATTCTCAAGGAATTAGTTCCATTGATTTAGGCATAATCCAAGCATATCAAAACTAGCTCTCCAAATGAGTAGTAAATCCAAGGAGGAAACTAATCAGTTTAACTCAATTTCTCTTTGTTTTTTCTAGGGTTAAACTTTATATAGGTTTGTGCTAACCCTTGGCCTTTGTGGTGCTTTGAATTGTGTAAACAATTCTGGGACCAAAGACCAAGGTCTCCAGATTTGGAGCCAGAAAAGCAATTTATAAACTGAGAAAATTTCTTTCTCCTTCTAATTGTTTTTTTTTATATATATATATATTTCAGATATACAACTTAAACTAAAAGAGATCCTTTGACTTGTAATTCCTCAATTTTTTTCTTAGTTGGTTAGCAATTCTTTTTACCAACTGGATATTGCTGTCTTTTTTGAGCTATTCATCAGAACTTTGAGTGTGGCAAAAACAATAATCCAGATCCATTTTTGATAGGAGAAAGGAATCATGAATGTATAAATGTTTGCAAAGTTATGTCTGTAGAGCACATTTATTTTATCATGTATTATGGAGTTATTTTTATTCATTCTCTCTCTCAAAAACAAAATGTAGATCAGCCTCCACAGCATTGCTTGGTAATGAGGAATAAATTCAGGTTCTTATACATGCAACACTTGTGCTGCCTCCTTTAAACTTTCTCCTCAGCCCTTCTCTGAATCTTTTAAAACATTTATATGGCAGGAGTATAATAGGACTCTGGATTTTGGAAAGTTCCTCTTATAATATATAATAAAGGTCTATAGAATTTAACATGAAACAGATGCCAATAGCTGATATCTCTAATATTTTTGTCAACTATACAACTACTCAATGGATTTAAATAGTATTTATACTAAAATTACATGAATATAAGGCATTTCCCCAAATCCAATATGGTTTCTCACACAGTGTTGGAAGATAATCTCAGATGAAATACTCAAAATTTACAAAATGTTGAACTTATCTATACTTTATAGTGGAATGTGGACTGAAAATACACACCTTTCTCTCCCAAAATAAGGGGGTGGAGGGAAGTATGAGAAAAAGAGAACTAAATGTAAAGCACATCCAGTAGGCTGAAATAATTATAATGGTTATCTTTATCCTTTCTAACATTCTTTTCTAGTCTGTTTTTGTAATCAAGTTCTAGCCCAGTTTAACTGAATTTATTAAAAACTGTATCTTGGAGCCAGAGAGATAGTACAGCAAGTAAGGCATCTGCCTGGCACTCAGCTAATGCCAGTCAATTTCTGACACCTTACATGGTTCCTCAAGCTTCACCCGGAGTAACCCCTGAACACAAAGCCAGGGCTAAGCCCTGAGCACCTCCAGTGTGACACCCCAAACAAAATAAAATAAAAGTTGTATCTTAGAGAAGAAAAAGAGGTTGCTGCTTTGTCTATTAACAAAGGAGTATCAAAGAAGTTTAAGAAAAATTAACTGTTTTCTAATAGAGGGCTGGAGTGATAGCACAGTGGGTAGGGTGTTTGTCATGCAAACTGCTCGCCCGGCCGAGCTGGGTTCAATTCCTTTGCCCCTCTCGGAGAGCCCGGCAAGCTACCGAGAGTATTTCACCTACACGGCAAAGCCTGGCAAGCTACCTGGGACGTATTGGATATACCAAACACAGTAACAACAAGTCTCACAATGGAGACGTTACTGGGCCCGCGCGAGCAAACCGATGAACAATAGGAGGACAGTGCTACAGTACTAATAGAGGTTTGCATGCAACTATCTTATACATCTCTGATATATGTTGATGTGAAAAACACTTCATTTTTGCCCTAAACAATGATGAACTATAAGTGAATGAGTTCACTACAAGTGAACTATAAATCCAACTATAATAATTTGGGCTGGAGCGATAGCACAGCGGGTAGGGCGGCTGCCTTATGTGCAGCCAACATGGCCGACCCGAGTTCGATTCCTCCGCCCCTCTCGGAGAGCCCGGCAAGCTACCGAGAGTATTCGATATGCCAGACACAGTAACAAAGTCTCCAATGGAGAAGTTACTGGGCCCGCTCGAGCAAATCGATGATCAACGGGAGGGCCTTTACTTTACTTTACTTAATAATTAGGGACTCGCAGGTGTCCTGTTGACAGTGTACAACTTTAGGCTGACCATTCCCCTCTCTGGGTCCTGGACCCTCACTGAGCTCCATTTGTCTCTTTGTGTCTCTGTAGCAGTATCCATGATCACACCGACTCCCACTGCTTCCTGAAGATGCTCCAGGGAAATCTAAAGGAGACATTGTTTGCCTGGCCTGACAAAAAACCCAATGAGATGATCAAGAAATCAGAACGAGTCTTGAGGGAAAACCAGTGTGCCTACATCAACGGTAATATTGATTGATACCCTTTCCCAAGGGCAAGTAGAGATGCAGGGTTTTTCCTACCCGGAATATTGATTGCTTATACATGTGCAGTCAAATTAGGGTCATTGAGTCAGTATTTCAAATATTTGAGAAGTAACCTAAAAAACTCTGGGGGTTTAACTTTTAAGCCTTTGTATCTTTATTGGAATCACTAGCAACATATGCTTGCAATGGAAAGTTATTTACCTGCCAAGTCTTCGCACATGAGAATTGAGTATGAATTTCCATAAGCAAAATCCTTTAAATAAATATAATGAGGTCAACTTGGAAATATTAGACTCTGTATTAGAAAATGTAAAGAAATGTTCTGGAAGTAATTAAGAATTCTTGCTAGTCCCTGTTTTTCTAAACTGCACCCAGCACGTGAGAGTATTGTCATGGTAAACTTTATAAAGCACACTGATTAACAATGATTTATAGATGTGCTTATTTTTATCCTTTTTTGTTATTGATTATTACAAGAATCCTCACTGCCATGCTTGGAGTGCCATGTGATGCTGGGGATCCAGCCAAAGGCCTCAGACATGGCAGGCATGTGCTTTTCGTCTTCATCCACATCTCTGACACCTAGATACCAAGAATTCATTCTTGGCCCTAAATGTAATATGGGAGAACCAAATGCTTTTCAGGAGGAGGTAGCAATTAACATTTATATTCCTAAGAGGGTTAATAAGTTTCCAAGAGGGTCATCAAAAGTTATGTAGGACATTTTTAATTCCCATTTACAAGTGAGGTTGCCATAACATAGGAAGGTTAACTTGCTGACCCAAGGCCTTTCAACTTTTAAGTGGCAGCCTGGATTTGAGCAAAGCAATTTGATTACAAAGCCCAGAGTCTCCATCGGGATGCTTCTGTTCCACTTATATAAAGTAAAATTTTAGAGATTTTTCTGGCAAAGCAGGATCTTCTTATTATATCTTGTAAGTCCAGCACACTTTGATACTTGGCCAAAAATGGGATTTGTTGACTAAATGTAGAATGCTAGTCATGCCCTAGCATTGCATTCCTCTCCACCCCAGGCACCTTGGGTAAGACCCCACAGATGTGGGTGTAGCTTGAGCATCACTGGTGTGGTTCAAGAGCCTAAATAAAAACAAACCAGGACAGGAAAAGAATGCAAGCATAGGCAAAGGAGATGCCTCAAAGGGCAGAAGCACATGCTTTTCCTGCAGTAGCTCTGGGCTTGATCCCTAGCATCATCACGGTCCACCAGCCCTGCCAGGAGTAACCTAAGAAGGCAAAAAAGAAAAAAATCCAAGTAATGTATCAGGAAGAGAACTAAAAAGGATAGAGCACAAGCTTTGCAGACTCGAGCCCTGAATTTGCTCCTCAGCACTGCATGGCCCCTCTGGCAAGGTCAGATGGTAGCCCAGGTGACCCCCCAGCACAAAACAAGGGTGAGGATGAATGAAAGTCATTTATAAAGATCTTACAAAGGTGTTTATGTTTGTGGGGGTTTCTTTTGTTGTTTTTGTTTTGTTATTGTTTGGTTTGAGGGTCACGCCCAAGTTGGTGCTCAGGGTTTATTCCTGGCTTTGTGCTCAGGGAACCGTATGTGATGCTGGAGATCAAACCTGGGTCAGCTATGTACACGGTGCTTGTTTTTTATGTAGCAGGAGACTCTTTATTGAAAGTTATATATAGATATGTATACACACACTACACACACACATGCGCGCGCACACACACACACACATACACACATATGGAGAGAAAGAGAGGAGAGAGAGAAAGTGCACATCAGATTTCTAAGAACAAGTTTGTGACCTGTGCTAACTCACAGTTAAACCAAAAGTCTTTCAGATCCATGACTTTCACTTGAGTCCTAGATAAGATCATAAAGGGTAGGTTAGTTCATCTTGGTCTCTGTAGAACACTGGAGGGGACAAACAGGCAGGATAAGTGAGTGACCAAAGCCAAGAGCAGGGTGCGTACAAGCCTCACTCTCAAACGGGCAACAGTCACCAGCACACTCTTACAAGATTAACCTGAGGCGGGTGCTCTCCCATGAACCTATACCCCCAGCCTGTATTCCTTTGTTATTCCTCAGACTTCTACCTGTATAAAATTCTTCTCAACGTATTGTGTACATCTTGGGTATTATCTCTCCTGAAGACCCCTTCCCCAGGGCCTTGTCTGTGTGTTCTGAGTGCTTCGGTCATAGCTCAGCTCATGTTCCTCACGTCACCAACACTTCTCTCAGCTCCTTCCTGTTGCTGCTCTGATCCTGATTCCTGATTTCATGTTTGCTTCGTTCATGGTCTTTGTTCTTATTTGGGTGGAGCATGTCCTATAATACCTCTGTGAGAAAAGGCTTGTGGAAGGTAAATCTCCAAGACCTACTCCCTAAAAATCTCTATGTTAAATCATTATTAACATGATTGATACTTTAGTTGGATATGGACTTATAATGTGGCATATGTCCCCTCTCAGAACTATGAAGAACATTCTTTGTCTTTTAGATTCCATTCTTCTTATTGAAAGACCTTTTTTAAACTTTTCTGATTTGTTGTTGTTATTTCTGGGCCATACTTGGTGGTGCTGGCTCTGAGCTCAAGGATCATTCCTGGTGGGACTTCAGGAACCATATGGGGTGGGAGGATTGAACTCCCGCCCCCTTGGGTCAATCATATGCAAGACAAGTTCCCTGAGTGCTGTACTGTCTCTGGCCCCACCATTCTGATTCTTGAATGTTTCTATGAATCCTAGTTTTTTCAAGAAACTTTTGGCATATTGTGGGCGTCTTTGCTCCTCATATAACAAGTAACCAACCTTGTTTCATCACTATTATTCATTTATGGGGACATCATTGGGTTTTCCCCACCTGGAAATGTGTGCCCTTCAAAGTTTAGATTTTCAAGATATTTCAAGTATATTTTGGTTCATCTGTTTATGAAACTTCTATTGCTTTGATATTTAAACCTCCTGAACTGGTCTAATTTTTAAAAAATATTTTCTGGGAGCCATAGCAATAGTGCAGAGGGTAGGGCATCTGCTTTTCATGAGGCCAACCCCAATTTGATTCCTGGCATCCCATATGGTCCCCTGAGCATTAGCAGGAGTTTCTTGTTGTTGTTGTTGTTGTTGTTGTTGTTGTTGTTCTTCTTCTTCTTCTTCTTCTTCTTCTTCTTCTTCTTCTTCTTCTTCTTCTTCTTCTTCTTCTTCTTCTTCTTCTTCTTCTCCTCCTCCTCCTCCTCCTCCTCCTCCTCCTCCTCCTCCCCCTCTCTCCCCCTCCCCCTCCCTCTCCCTCTTCTCCCTCTCCTCTCCCTCTCCCTCTCCCTCTTCCTCTCCTCCTCCTCCTCCTCCTCCTCCTCCTCCTTCTCCTCCTCCTCCTCCTCCTCCTCCTCCAATTTAATTTAGGGGTTATACCAGGTCTGAATTGGGGCTAGGGAATAACCATGAGGTGCCAAGGATCAAACCAGGCTTCCTGCCTGCAGAGCTGCATACCTTTGTGCCATCTCTCCAGCCCTCTTTTTTCTTTGAGTCTTCCTCGGATTTTCTTGTCTTTAGTTTTTTGGGTTGTTTTTTTCTTTCTGCTTTCACCTTTTTATTCCCAGTGATTTCTTTAATTCTTATTATTATTTTCTCTTACCTCTCTGAGACATATATTAATGACTTTTTTGTTTTGCTTTATTAAAAAAATCTGAATTATTGTCAGTTTCCAGTGACTTTTTTGTTTAAAGTTTTGGCCTTTCTCTGTCTTCCTTATTAGACACATTGCTCAAATATCTAGTGACTTTGGCTGTGTGAAAATATTTAAAAACCTGGGCCAGGGGCTGGAGCGATAGCACAGTGGGTAGGGTGTTTGCCTTGCACGCGGCTGACCTGGGTTCGATTCCCAGCATCCCAAATGATGAGCACCTCCAGGAGTAATTCCTGAGTGCAGAACCAGGAGTAACCCCTGTGCAATGCCAGGTGTGAGCCAAAAAGAAAAAAAAAAAAAGCTGGGCCAAAGAAAAGTTCATTGGTAGCTCTAAACACATGGATGGTATTTGCCTACTAGGCTTCATTCTAAGATATTCTAGCAGAGCTTTTTCTTTGGACCAGAAACCCAGTGACAGTGACAATAATCTCCAGAGCTCTTCTCTTAAACTTCTCATATTTCCAGAGAATTTCTGTCTCCTGTGAGAGATCAGTTTCTATATGACAGTGTTCCGGCATCTAGATGGTAAAGAAAGAAGAGAACTTATCATTCCTGTGAAAATGCCCATTGTTTTCCTCCTGGGATTCACCAGTCCGAAGTTCACCATTGTTTGTTTGTTTGTTTGTTTTTTAGAGAACAGATCTCAGATTTCTACTGAGAGAAGCAGACAGGGAGAAGCTGAAACAAAAGTGATGAGAAGAATTTGAATTTCTTCTCGTCAGAGGATTTCAGCAAGCCCTTTCTAGTGTTTTTAGGCCTGTCTTCACTTTCATTTTCAGAAGTAACTGCAGCTGCCAAATTCTGAGATACAAATCTCAGGTTATTTCTTGACCGTTCCCTTGAGTGGTTTCAGATTTAGCTTTGTCTCCTCTGCAAAACCATTCTTCTACTTTCAGGCTTTCAAACTTTGGTGGATGTTTTCTCTATTTCTCATTTTGATTTTTGTATGTGAATGCCTTTTTTGTGTCCTCTTGCTGCAATTGTCAGGGGTTTTCAGGAAAGAGGAGCATGCAAACCAATTACTGACTTTAGTTGGAGATTCTAACTCTAGGCCTGGAGCAATAGTACAATGGGTAAAGTGTTTGCCTAGCTTGCAGTCTATCTGGGGTCAATCCCTGGAACCCCATGTGGTTCCCTACCCCTTCACACACACCCCCACCCCACACCCACCCCCGCCAATACTGCCAGGAGTAAGCTCTGAGTACAAAGCCAGGAGTAATCCCTGAGCACCTCCAGGTGTGGCAAGCAAATAAACAAAAAAGAATAAATCAATCAATCAATTAAAATGAATTCTAATGCTATTACTTCCCCATGTTTCCACAGCTAAGTTACCCTCTTAGATGAATAATTCCGGTTTGACCTAAATTTACCAACTAAGCTCCTTCATCTGTTTTTTCCTCCTGGATGTTGTTTAGATTCTATTGGCTTACACCGGGTAGAAAATATCAGTCATACAGAACCTGCCGTGAGCCTTCACTTGTACAGTCCGCCTTTTGATACGTGTCATGCCTTTGATCAAAGAACAGGACATAAAAATAAAGTCGCCATGACTTTCCACAGCAAATTTGGAACAAGGACTCCATTTGTAAGTATAATTGCTCTCTCCTGGTTTAAAATGCTTTGAGCATTCACAGCATTACCTTACATGCGTTGATTTTTCATTTTTTGAATATCCTATATTTTAAATATTCTTGAATTGAACAAGAGAAAACTTTTCTTGAGGAAAAGGCCTATTATGTCCTTCATCTTTAGCTTTGGAGGCTATATCTTCAATTTTTTTTTAAAGTAGCTCCTAGATTAGATATAACTGTTTATTGAGAAACTTCAAAGTATATGCCAATTCCTAAAGAAAATGTTTTATCCTCATTTATTAATTAAGTAATATGAAAGTTCTACTATTGATACAACTGATAGTATAGTGATTGAATGTTTAAAAGTCTTATTTGCAATACAGATAACTTACAAATTAACCTGTACGAAGTGGAGACATGATTCTGGATGCATGAAGAAACTCACATGCCTTTACAGTCAAGTTGCCTTTTCTTTGAGTAGTAATGCTATTTAAGCCATGAATAAATGAGAGAAGACTATAGCACTATGTTCCTACTTAAGGAATAAGTGTTTCCACTTAAAATTAATGAAACAACTAACAGAATATGGTACAACAATTTTCTACCTATGGCGAACTTAACTGGTCATGGTGATTAAATGGTCTTTAGTTATTGCAGTGCCCAGAAATAGATAATAGGACATAAGGGATCGAAAATACTTCTCTTGAAGCTGATGCAGATACAACCTTGGAGATGAATGAGGACAGAATTTCTGAAATTGCTGTTCAGCTTTGTTATCTGATTCTGATTCTGATTCTCATCACAGGAATAAGGAAACAGGGCCCCTTTCCCACCACAGAATTTCTGTGCCCTGTTTAAACAGAACCCCAGGAGAGCGGGCTGAAATGTCCCATGCATTCTCACACAGTGTTCTTTCTATTTTCTTCCAGACAACTTCAGGATCCCTAGAGAACAACTGAATATACCTGAAACGCTTTGAGATTTCACTCTAATGTTCCGCTGAAGGTTTTGCTGTGAACAAGGCCTGTCGCCATTTGCTCTCTAGTAATACACTACACTTAAACGCCACTACTTAGATATGCTACAAGGCAGAGGCTAATTCTAAGGCATTAAATAAGCAGATAGTGCCCTGAGCTATTACTGCAGAAAATTTTCATTAAATACCAAAAAAAAAGAAAAAAAGAAGAAAAAAAGCGGGAGGGGACTTGTAATTTTAAGGGCCAAATCAAGTGTTCTCTTAGTTCCATCCTCAGACCTATTGGAACCATACTGAGAATGCCAACGAGAAGGTTTTTTTGTTTGTTTGTTTTTGGGTTTTTTTTAAATATGTGTATTTGAATAGCTTTTGAAAAATTCTTTGGCCTCTGAACCATGATTAGCTATAAATAAAACCCAGAAACCACACACATCAAAGCCTGCCATATTACTTGGAGGACTAAAAATAGATGTCTTTAATACTCTTTTTAGCTTATTAATATTTGAAGATAATAACTTTCTCAATCTGTGGATTTTGTTTTTCTCATCTTGTTTTACAAATTTCTGTGCTATAAATAATAGACAATTGTGGATCAACTTAAGGCACATTGCCATTTGGTAATGAAATGAAGGGCAGAGGATTTAGAAAAGTTCAGGTACTTTTCTAACCCACAGCAAACCAAAACCAGAAACTCATGTCAGAGGTGTCCAGTGGTCTTTGCTAAAGACTTTGTACTGCTACCAAAATTGCTGACAAATTTTAATAAAATTGGAGTTGAATACATTTTGAAGTTGTGTTTCTATTGAATATAGAATTTCATATAGTTTATGGGACCAGACAGTACAGCAGATAAGGAGCCTGTCTTGTACGTGGCTGACCTGGGTCGCCCCCAGAACCATGTATCGTCCCCTGAGCACTTTCAGCAATGATCCCTGAGCACACAGCCAGGAGTAAGCCCTAAGTACATTTAGGTATAACACCCCCCCCCCCCCAGATTTTTTAACAATTTTATATAATTTAGTTTTTAGGTTTAGGTAGGCTACCAAAATCTTCTACTGTGAAGATTTTTGAGGATATTGAAATATGAGTGGGCCCAAACAGCCCTCCTTGACATCCTGTCCACTCTCTCCTCCAGAACTGACCTTGATCACTACTTTTCACGCTGATTTTCACCACAGAACCAACTTGCTTCTGAAACACACATTTTTCACAATTGCATCTTAAACCTTTAAGATACAATTAAGACAGGACTCCTTTTTCACTCATGGGACTGAAGTGATAGATAGTACAGTGGGGAGGGCACTTGCCTTGCATGCAGTTGACCTGGATTTGATCCCCGGCACCCCACAGGGTCTCCCAAGTACCTCCAGGAGTGATTCCTGAGTGCAGAGTCAGGAATAACCCCTGAGCATAGGTTATGGCCCCCAAACAAACAAACAAACAAAAAAAACCAAACACATGACCCTTTTCACTCATGAACACTTTTAGTCTAAGAAATGCAGTATAAGTGAGTGGAGCCAGAAATGCCTCAGATTCACTCCATTGCACATTCAAAAATCTTTTATTGTTATCAAGTTTTTTATGATGCAAACCCCACCCCCACCCCCACATTCATTTTTGTGATTCCCCCTGGTAGTTATGACCCACAGTTTTAGAAGCTCATGTCAGAATTCTACTAGGATGCAATTATCCCACAGGTAGACGTTGTATCGTTTACTGTTATAAATGCATTTAAGCCTTCCCTGACACCTTGCAGGTACTGGATAAGTTATAAAACAAATGGAAAGGTGGGATGGAGATAGCTCAGAGGGCTGGAGTGCACTTGTAGTAGGTCCCAATTTAGATCCCCAGTCTTAAATAGCCTCTGAGTACCACTGGGGTAGCCCCTATGGCCCCTAACCTTTGACCCATCCTGCACACCAAGTATCACCAAGCTGTGGTCCCTGATCTTCTGACACTGCTTGAAAGACCCTGCCACCCACCCCTGCCACACACACCCCAAATGAATAGGGAAAAAACCTCAAGCCACTTTTATAATAATTTTGTATTAACATTTTCTGAGGCTCTGGACTCTTCTATATGTACCAAATGAGGTTTGCCATGCCATTTTTATTTTTCTAATCCTGTCCACTGCTGGATGTGCTAGGTATCAATCTTGCTTGGTCTTCAGGGACCCTGTAGTGTTGAGTATATCCAGAACCTTGCACATGCTAGTCATGCTAATCATGTACTCTATCATTTGAGCTAGTTCCAACACTATTACTTTTATTAAGTATGAAGTTCAGTGTGTGTGTGTGTGTGTGTGTGTGTGTGTGTGTGTGTGTTTTGGGCCACACCTGGTGATGCTTAAATGACCATGTAGTACCAGGGACCTAATTCAGGCCTTATGCATGCAAAGCATGTGCTCAGCCTACTAAGCTGACTCTCCGGCTCCCCCAAAGTGTGCAAGTTCCAAAGATTACTTATTGTAAATTTTTTATCCTTTTATAGTTTCAGCGGTAGGGCGTTTGCCTTGCACGCAGCCAACATGGCCGACCCGAGTTCGATTCCTCCGCCCCTCTCGGAGAGCCCGGCAAGCTACCGAGAGTATCTCGCCCGCACGGCAGAGCCTGGCAAGCTCCCCGTGACGTATTCGATATGCCAGACACAGTAACAACAAAGTCTCCAATGGAGACGTTACTGGGCCCGCTCGAGCAAATCGATGATCAACGGGAGGGCCTTTACTTTTTACTTTATACTTTTTACTTTTTTATAGTTTCAGAAGTTAAACTCAGGAATTCACATGTGCAGGGCATGTGCTCTGCTGCTGAGCAGAATCCCCAGCATTGGCTCACTTCTTAAGCTGCAGTCATAAGGCTAATGTTAGATTATCTAACATCTAAGTGCTTGGTGCAGGTTCATTAATCAAGCACTTAGATAAGCTAGTTAATTGAAGGACTTTTAAATGCTCTTCATGGATGAGGACAGAATTACTTGTCCCATTTAGCAATCATGTTTAGACTGTTTTTGTATTTTTTTTTTCAGTTCATAGACTACTTTCAAGATCTGAGTGTTTTGCTTCTCTCCTAAAAAGCTAGTATGTAACAAATGTGTACAGCTTTCAAAACAATTTCCTGAATCTAAAAGCTCACTACATGTGAACTAGAACATGTGGAAAAGTACTCATATTCTGCACTTTCTGGAATAGGAGAAAATTGATCAGCTGAGCTTTTAGTTTACCTTTTAAAAGTTTGAGTGGAGTTTCTAGGAAATACCCAAATTGGGTGCGCTCTTGTCCAATGCACGTCCACACATTTCACAAGATCTGTTGTCTCACTTTTGAAAGACATCAAAGACTTTCACAATTTTATTTGCCTGGTTGGCAGAGGATTTCTTCAAAGAGTGCAAGTGAAGTAGGGCCATGAGCCAGACACAGGATACATGTATAATTTCTCTTCTACAAGGTCCCTAGAAGAGGCGCAGAGTTTTGATTGCACATTTATACATAGTTACAATGAATAAAGGGCTGGAGCAATAGCACAGAGGGTAGGCGTTTGCCTTGCACGCCGCCGACCCCGGGCTCAATTCCTCCGTCCCTCTCGGAGAGCCCTGCAAGTTACGGAGAGTATCTCTCCCGCGTTGCAGAGCCTGGCAAGCTCCCCGTGGCGTATTTGGTATGCCAAAAACAGTAACAACAAGTCTCACAGTGGAGATGTTATTGGTGTATGCTCGAGCAAATCGATGAACAACAGGAAGACAGTGCTACAATGAATAAAATTTCATTATGAATATTTATTTTAGTCATCCATCCACTGAGGTTTGGCAAAGAAGTAATAGTTTTGTGTGCTGTTAAAAACATACATAGGGTCCGGAGTGATAGCACAGTGGGTAGGGTGTTTGCCTTGCAGGCAGCCGAACTGGGTTCGATTCCCAGCATCCCATATGGTCCCCTGAGCACTTCCAGGAGTAATTCCTGAGTGCAAAGTCAGGAGTAACCCCTGAGCATTACTTGGTGTAACCCAAAAAGGAAAAAAATGAATAAAATAAAATAAATAAAAACATACCTAATGAGGTGCTCAATGAGATATTCACACACAAAAAAAAAACAAAGCCTGGGGCAGACTGAGATTTACTAATTCTGAGCACTAATTTAAGCTTAAATCAGTAGTCAAGGGGTCATCCTTGTGTTAACTCAAGAGGAAGCAGTAGTCTGTTTACTAGATCTATGTTGCCTTATGCTATCATGATTCATGTCATGAAAAAATTCTTTGCACGTAGCACTGTTCTCCCATTGTTCATCGAGTTGCTTGAGCGGGCCCAGTAATTATAGAACTAGAAAGAAAGCTAATGCGATTGAAAGTTGAGACACCTTGCAGCATGAAGAAAAGGTTTAGGTCCCCACTGGATCACTGCAGTGCATGTTTCAGGAATGCTGCTTCATTAGCAGGACTTCATGCAAAACTCATCTCGCTGGCAAACATAAAACTGAGATTATCCAAGGGGTATGGTTGCCGCCAGCAGGTCAATCTGTACCTGTGAGGCGAGTGCATCAGCAGCCTGATGGCGCCTTCAGACTTCCAGATACCCCAAAATTGCTGCTGTGCCTTTGGCCAGACCCCAAAAATTTGGGGCAAAGCTTAACCAAGAATGTAAACGGCCAAAAGTTAGGTATGTGGGAGACACACCCACAAACCACCTCCGGCTCAGCTATAGAATTGGAGGCATGACCTCTCTGGTTCCTGATTGAACTGCTTAATGGCCATGATCCCAGAGACTCAGAAACAAATCTCGAAACCCAGAAGCTTTTGGCAGAAATGCTTCCGGTCCCTGCAGTAGGTTACCGGTGCTGGGCCAACCCAGGTGGGAATAGGTTTCATGCCTTGGCCTGTTCCCCCTGGTGGCCCAGTGGCCGCCATCCTTCAGAGGCCACTGGACAGTCAGGTTTGGGCCCACAGTGATGAGACACGCAGGACCTCACAGGATGGGGGTGGAGCCGGTCCTGTCCTCCCCACCGCAACAAGACCCCAAGTCATCGCCCATGAACGGCCTCTCTGACTCCTGATCAAGATGCTTAACGGCCATGATCCCAGAGATTCAGAAACAAATCTCAAAACCCAGTGGATTTTGGCAGAAATGTGTCCGGACCCCACAGTACGTTCTGTCATCCGGCCACCCCAGGGAGGAAAGGGTGTTGTCACTCCGCCTACTCCCCCCTGGAGAATCGGTGGCTGTCATCTTCCAGAGGCCATTGGACAGTCAGGCTCAGGCCTGCAATGACAAAACTTGTTTGGCCTCACAGGATGGGGGAGGGGACCGGGCCTGTCCTCCCCACCCCAACTAGACCCCAAGTCATCGCCCATGAACGGGCTCTCTGGCTCCTGATCAAGCTGCTTAACGGCCTTGCTCCCAGAGACTCCGAAACAAATCTCGAAACTCAGTGGCTTTTGGCAGAAATGCATCCAGACCCCTCAGTAGGTTACTGTTCCCGGGCCACCCCAGTGGGGAAAGGGTGTTGTCCCTCCGCCTGCTCCCCCCTGGCGGCTCAGTGGGCGTCATTCTCCAGAGGCCATTGGACAGTCAGGTCTGGGCCCGCAGTGATGAGACATTTGGGGGCTCACGGGATGGGGGTGGAGACGGGCCTGTCCTCCCCACCCCAATGAGACCCCAAGTCATCGTCCACGAACGGGCTCTCTGGCTCCTGATCAAGCTGCTTAACGGCCATGATCCCAGATACTCAGAAACAAATCTTGAAACCCAGCAGCTTTTGGCAGAAATGTGTCCGGACCCCGCAGTAGGTTGCTGTC